AATGATTTGTTAAAATTGATATCAGCTGTTTTGTGTTCGCTTTCGTCACGAGGAATTACTTCGAAAGTAGTTTTTTTATTTGATATCAGTTGTTTTGTACCCGAAATTTTTTTCTCAAAAAAACCAACTAACCCTAAATAGAGATGTCAACGGACAAAATTTTGTCCGTCCGTCCGTCCGAAAAAATTTTGGAAAAATTTGGACGTCCGGTCCGAATGTCCGAAAACCAAAATTGTTTTTCGGACGTCCGGTAGGAATGTACGAATTTCTTTTGTCCGGACGTCCGAAAAAATATTTCGGTTTTCGGACGGACGGACACCAATGTCCGAATTTTTGTCCGTGTCCGTTGACACCTCTAACCCTAAACAAACACAAAGTGGTGTGTATTGAGCCAAAGAAAATGAAACATGAAATGTTGTAGTTAAAAACCAGCATTGCCGCCTTTTTGAATAAAGCAGAATCAGCGCGTAGGTGGGAAAGCATACTTATGAGCGTGTGGAATCGAGTTCGAGTCGCACACCGGAGGAGAAAAAATTAATTTTTTTTTTCGTTAAATAAAATTTGGTTTTTGGACAGACAGATGAAATTACATTTTGTTTTGATGAAATCACATATCGCTTTTATACTAAGAAACTATCACATGTTTTGTTTTTTCATGACGAATTGTTTTGATTTTGATTTGTTCATTAAAAGTCCTTTTTTGTGTTTTTAGTTGATTGCGTGGTATAAAAAGACTTGGTGAAGGGCTGGTATCTGAAGGAATTTTATTCATCTGAACGCAAGAACACTTGGGTTATGAATCATAACTTATGATTTTGCCATTATTCACGGCAACAAAAATGAGTTTTAGTTGATTTTTGTCGATTTTTCATGTTTTTTCCAACTTCTAATGGCTATATCTCGAAAAACAGAGTTTTGCCAGATATAAGCTATATGTCAAATTTTAGCTCTAATTTGGGGCTATATTTGAGGCAATTTTGAAAAAAATCGTCGGAGCCGTTTTCGAGAAAATGGCTGATTTGTGCAAGGCTAGGTGACCATTTTTTGGGTTTTCAGCCCATAAGACCATGCTGACTTGATTTTTTAAAGCTTAAATAGGTGCCATTTTATAGCTGGCCTTGAGAGTCTCAAGTTGAGACCTTTCCAACGATACCTAAAAGTCTGAAATTGGTTGACAGGGTTAGGCACAGTAGCCATTGGAAGGAAGGCCATTTTTTTAATTTTCAAAGGCCGGCCAAGGCCAAGATGGCGGCCAAATCAAAAAGTGGCGGAACAAAAAAGTCTTAGTTTTTGATATAGTTCAATGCCTGAAAGTTTGAAAAAGATCGGACAAAAAGTACGGACGGACGGACGGACACACAGACAAAACTATTATCTCAGAATAATTGATGGAGACGGCAAAGAAAATTTTCAAATGGCCATAACTCATGAACTGATGGTCCGATTTCAACGTTCTTGGTCTTGTTGGAAAGGTCTCGACGAGAAGCTTCAGAAAAACCATGTTTTGAGATGACTGGGCCGCGTCCACCCCCGGTAAATGGGAAAAACTGAGAATTGCTCCAAATTTTTAAGTGGCCATATCTATGGAGACGGTTGGTCGATTCCCAAGTTTGAATGCATTTTCTGGGCCTATGAGCCAAGGGCTTTCTGACGATACTTCATTCATACCAGATGGCCTCTTAGGAAAAAAGTTCGAAATTGCGTGTATATATAGGCGAGTTCGACTTTCAACACAGAGGTGCTTTCGTCACTCGCGCCTGCTGTCGCCGGCTGTGATCTACCATTTATACTCCGAATATTGTCGAAATTCATAATCTTCTTTGTGCAACGACCTCATGGCTGAGCCTCGTTTCAACGTGATGGAGCCCATTTTTGTCGCAAGGACAACTTTTTCTGGTAGATAGAGTGTGATTGGATGGGCATTTGCTGAAAATTTTCTTTCACGATCAAATGCTGACAAATTGATAACATCATTTTTGAAATGAATACCCGACCGTAGGGTACGAACTCGTATTTCTTTTACATTTGGTGCATCACGTATAAAGGTTAGAACTTCATTGGAACTTGCGTCGAACAGGCAAACTCGTTCGACATTCACTTAATTTTTTGCAAGTGTTTGCAAATCGTGAGATTCAGCATAATGAACATACAGTTCTTTCAAGCCCAATATTTGTGGTAAAGTTGCGATCTTTTCTTTTAAATACAATGTCGTCAATCCTGGTAACGATGCAATCAAATTAACAGTTTCTATTTCCTGTTTAATAAGCTCTAACTTCAATCGTTCATAGAAACCTTGTTCGTAGAGTTTATTGATTAAGTCTTGAGCGGTATCTTCGGAATCGCATACTCGAATGAGGCTCAGGATTTAAAACCTTATAGTTGTGTCTAAGAAAACGCCATTGAGGGAAAGAAAGGATTGATAATATATAATAATCAGTTGAAAACAATTGAATGCTTGCATTTTGTTCGAAAAAATTTCCCAACCAAAAGTAATAAATCGGAATGGAGCTACGAGCCATGTTGAAACAATTTAAGTCTTCAACATGAAGGTATTTTAATTTTGTGTATGGATATCTTAACAGTTCATCACTATTTGGGATAAATATCTTCTACACTTGGTAAGTGTACGGTATGCGGTATTTAAATAAAAGTTGCGATATAACGAACTCTGAATTGCAAGTCGTGTGACCAAATGTGGATAATTCGATGTATCCAGTTTTTCAAAATAAAAGGGACCGTTCTTTGCAAGAGACTTAGCAGATCCAAGTAGTTTGCGTGGAA